GCTAGAATGTGAAAGACAGTCTCAGAGAGCTGATAGTGTAAATGTGTACAATTCATTATTAAAAGAATAAAACTTTATAAATAATCTTAAAACTAAATGTTGTTTCTAGGGCAGCAACAGTGATGTTAAAAAATAAAAAAATAAATCTAAAATGTCAATAAATTAAATCCTGTTCTTGACATCACAATACTGAGTGAAGTTTATAAAGAATGAAGAGCACAGACATGTCAGCATCCATCTTCCTGTCCTCTCTGCTGCTGAGGAGAGTCACTGCCTGCATGTAACATTACCGTTGCTAAGTTTTAAGATACGCAAGATTCAGCTTGATAGTAACAATTTGCTAGACACTGGAAAGCACTCTATGCTTGTTTATAACATGATGTTATCAGCGGTGGATGAGAGACTGTGAACAGAGCAGACTGAAATATAATCAGCTCAAGTTATCTTCACTTCTCCGTCTTCACTGCGGCATCTCTCCGTGTTTGTGTGTCTGTTTGTGCATAAAAGTGATGCAGCAGCTCCAACGTGCAGACAGCAGGAGGAGAGGCTGCTGCAGCATGATAATAAATTACACCAAAACATAAAAACAGTAAGCTAACAGTTACAGATAAGTGAAGTGCTAACGTCGTAGCTTCTCAAGACAACGGTCGTTAATAATTCAGCCCGTTTACTACCGGCAAGATGAACGGGATTAAAGCTTCACGCCTAAAGTCCAAGATCGATCCAAGATGATCTTTAATATTCCCTTTTTCCATCCGTGAGAAAAAGCGTATATTAAAAGATCGATCTTAAATTTTAGGTATCGATGTTGCGTCATTCAAATGAAGATCGATTTGAATCAGATGAATTGATTATTTTAAGCCAGCCCTACTCCTGATGACTTTTTTTCTGTCCTTATACTGGGTCCCAAACAGGCTTATATATAGTGAAACATTTTGACTTCTGTCAAATTTAACCAAAGTCAAATTTCACTGTACTTACAAAAAAAATAAGGCTCAGATATCTATTGTAAAATACAAAGAAATCACTCCAGATGGAATTTACATTACAGGAGAACCAGCCCATTCACAGCAAAACAGGAGGTCATCATGGCTGTAATTATGTCTGCGGAGGGGGTGAAAAATGAACCATATGCATACTGGGGACATGATTAAAATCCCTGACCAGTGCAGCTAATGTTCACAACACTTTCCCCAAGTCCAGTCCCATCACAAGTGTGATGTGGGAACTTGAAACCTCCAGTGCAAGCACAGTACAGTATATTGTATACTGTATACTACAGTGTACTTTACACCCTGTACCGATTCAGTAACACAGAATACACCTTGTGTCCAGTAGGTAAACTTTTCAAAATCAAACATATTTGTATACTTAAACATTCTGGAGTTTTCACTGAGGGACGGGGAGAGGATGTGGTTTTGAGAATTTTAACGAGGTAATTGAACTTTTTAGTGGAAAAAACTATATCACGTCTGGAGGGCATCTTTAAGGCCTCTCTCACTTGGCATAAATACATCTCCCAGCCACCATGTGACACCGTTATGCAACACAAGTTTAATGACACTACATCTATAGTGAGCAATGACAGAACATGGGGGGTTGCAAGAGATGAAAATGAGGAACAGAGCTGGTGTCACCCAACAGAACTAAGCTTTTACTACAAAAGAGTCCAGTGGGAGACATGACGTGATGGCACTGTGTCTACAGACAGGAAATCCTCAAAGAGCTGTTTTATGAAGGGAAAACCCTGGTCATGTTTTATAACCCATCTCAGTGAGTCTTAACTGACTCAAAACCACACACACACACACACACACACACACACACACACACACACACACACACAGAGCACCTCTCTAGCCTCAAAACTAAATGACTCTCTCTTTTAATTAAAACCAACTGATAGCTCGGGGTGCTAAGTTACTCAGTGGCTGCTTTTTTGATAATCGTCAATTAACCAGCGGTGTCCCAGCTCCAAGAACCCACAGCGACACAGAGTTGGCCAGACTGTTATTAAACTTGGTAACCTTCATTAACAGGTTTAACACACTAACAGTCAGCTGTGTGATGCCATGTCAATGTGTGTGTGGGCAGAATCTCAACTCAACTGTCCAAGGCACAGAGCTCACACTCCTGCAGCAGTAGTCTCTTAATGGTGATGAATTAAATGATGTCGACTACATGTTTATTTGCACATTATGCATGCATGAAGACATATTCTACTGCCAGGTGTGAACAGACAGACATAGAGCTGTCTACTTGTGGTTGGCTCAACCAAAGACGCATTTGAATACCAGGTGTAAACATTCTTTCGAATAATGTTTAGAGAATAAAAATAATCTAAGAGAAGATAAACACAAAATGTTCTTTATCTTTATCCTAATCTCTGCTTTTTTATGTAATGTACTGCATAGTTTTGCCTCTTTAAAGGTACCATGCAGAGTCTTAGACCACTAGCAGTGCTACAGAGTCGCGATGTATGATATTGGATTTTTTGCCAATATCCAATATGCCAATATGTAACAACTTATTTGGCTGATTACTGATAACAATATCAATATATCCACTTTTTTCCCACCTAATATTAGTGATCATCAAGTCTCTTCTGCAGTGGAATTAACATATTATGCATGCCTACTCTTATCGTGATGGCCCACCAGCAGATGGAGACATGAATTGCTTTTCAGTGTTGTGCAAAATAAGAAAAATCATGTTGGCCGATTTTGATAGTTCATTTTAAAGCCAATATCGGATGATACTGATGACGTGCCAATATTATCGTGCATCCCTACTTTAGAGCAATATTCCACAGTTTCCTATCATGTGTCAGGTTTTTAGACTGTATAAAGTCCTCTGGTCAGTCTATTAAATACCTGCAGCCATCATGCAGCCAAAGCTAAATGTGTTTTTATCACCGTATTTGTGAATGGCTCCAACAGAGTGGGGATCTTTTTGATATTTTAATCTTCCAACGTGGTCCTAGAATCTTACTGCAAGTAGTCTCCTGTGTTTTGTAGACACTTGTGAGCTGTTTCAAAGAGATTTTCTACATTGCGATCATTTGGAATATAGCCCACATGTTTAATTTCAGCAAATCTCACAAAGTTGGTCCTGTCAGCAGGTCTCTACAGTGAGAACTAAGTTTATGCATCATGAAAGCTGCCACACAATTGCATTTCTCATTACAGTAAAGACATTATTGCACGTGTCCATGTCCTGATATGACTTGTTGAATGCAACATTTTTAATTAACCAAAAAAGGACTAAAACTAATCCACTGCAAAACAAGTATATGTTCAAGAAAGTTACAAGCAAAACACATTCTTAAAGTGTAGCCAACTAACTTGAAGCTCCTGAAATATAAAGCCAACACCATCTGCCCTTAAAAGTGGCTCTGTATATAAATATGTGGATTGATTTATTATTATTATTCATTTATTAATTTTATTTTTGCCTTTTTCCTCCCAAACAAACAGTGTGAACTCTGCTCTCTGCTCATTATACTGTCCTCTCATTTCAAAGGGTTAATGAGGATGAGAGGGAGGTGATGTCATTGACTGAAACTAACCACTACTTTTGTGAGCAATATTTTTACATTTATTAAAAAAGTGAGCTCATTTGTGGTGGGGATGATCCATTGTCAGAGTACAAAGAACAAAGATTTTAATTGCCAATGTCTGTGTCACAGGATTTGTTATGCATATGACATATGACATGACATAAAATATGACATGAAAGAACTTTCTTAAACTTTAAGCTTTGAGGCTTGAGCCAAAATCTGCAAATTACCATAAAAAAATAAAGAGCAGAGAGCGCCCTTACAGTCAGTTATGGCCCTGATGTGCGGTCACAGGTTGATACACATGAGAAAAGATCATTAAAATGTCTTTTACCGAGGTTTGAGGTGACTCTTTTTCCACCTCATGTTAATTTTACTGCCTATCAACATTAATAAAAACATTTAAAAGTTATAATTCAGTGTACATTATTGTATGTGGCTCAGACCAGCTCTACCTGGTCTCGCAGTGGCCACTGTCTAACTAGCCAAATCTTTTAATGTTGTGGTAATTTAGCCTGTGAATAGCTGCAGACATATTCTCTTATTGTTTGTTATTTATTTTTATTGTTTGTTAGCTAGGTTGTGTATTAATGTTGATTTATCAGCACTTCTCTTAGCTCATGTTCTTATTAATGATAAATACAATGGATATTAAAGATAATAATTATAATGATTATCATAAGGGATGGGGGAGGGGTCGTCCGGGGAAGATTGCCTAGGGCACTGAATGTGATAGGTCTGGCACTGTGAGCTATATATAAATCATAAAATATCATAAAATTCATTGATATTACCATGCAAAGGTCAATTAACAACAGCATGGTTTCTGTTTCAAAATCAAAGAATACAATAATTAATCAGAGCACTCACATAAGAACGTAGCACTTGCAGAGCATAAATATTTATGAAGAGGGCCTGTCAAAATCAGCAGAGGGATGCAAAACAACTGTTTATGGTGTTCAGTTCTTTCTCTCTCTGTCTCTCTCTCTCTCTCTCTCTCTCTCTCTCTCTAAATAGCTCCATAAGGCTTTCACAGAAGGGGTAAAAAAAAAAAAACATACAACCACCCCTTGTGGCGACGGGCATTTTACTATACCTAGATTGATTTTATGTGGCACATAAATGACTGAGTGATTGATTGATTGATTGATTGATTGATTCATTGATATTTCAGCTGTATAGATTTATGTAACTTTGTTTTACCTGTAAAGTGGGAGCAGGGGGGCACTCAGAGTGTGGTGACCCTAGGGCACCACATTGTGTTAACCTGGGCCTAATTACACAATATATGTCACCCGGTTGTGTACCAGAGTCATTTAAGGACCATACACGTCCACATAGGTGGATTTCATCATGTTTGTTTCCATTTATATTTATGTAGTATGAGTGACAGTGAAGTATTAATTTGTGTCAATAAGCAGAGTCGATGATAACACTGTACCTTCTTCATTCATGCTCCAGCTGCCGTACTCTGGGTCTGATATGTAGCCGCAGGTGCCCAGCTCAAAGTTGCAGGAGCCGGGCAGCAGTAGCTGCTGTGCCCGGAGCAATCCGCACAACAGCAGCACTGAGAGAGGAGAGAAGACAAGCATCCATGCCGCTGAGTTTAACTGAACTTTCAAAACACGTTTGTTAGACTTCTGAGGAACTAAATAGAGCTAACAAGACTCAAGTCAGAAGAATTCCGGTGCAACTTTCTGCATTTCCACCCTGATAAGTTGGATTTACCGTGGAGAGTGAGGCAGACGCTGCTCATCTTATCCGCGGTGAGTTTGGGAGCTCCCTCTGTAGTATATCGAAAGTATCCCGTTAAATTCCCCCAAAGACCTACAGCGCCAACTGCTCGTCGAAACTTTCACGGGTTGTCTTTCACATGTTGTAACAGTGTCAGCAGGAGAGATGGAGTGTTTATCCGGCTGGATGAATGGATGTGCTGGAGGCGGGGAAGCAGAAGCAGCGGTCCAGGTCGCGGTGCCTCTCCGCCTCCCTCTGCTGCTGTGCTCGGGCACACTGATGAGCCAGGGCCGGACACACACGCCCCAGGGCCTTTGTGCAGTTCCCCCTCAATCACCACTTGGTAGGGCTTAAATCAGAGTCATGAAAGTCTTACCAAGGTTTGAGTAAATCTGCATTTCGAACAAGACGGCTTTATTTGTTCATCGGGATTCTTAATGACACTGACTCTATTGCATGTTACAGTAAGCGAGCCTACATGGTGGGCTGTGTTTACAGAAAGCACAAGTGACCTGTGGTCAAATAAAAGTTAATATGAATTTGAGCTTCTAACATTATGTTAAATTCCAAAGTATTTTATTGGGACTTATCCTTTCTACACCTGTAAACCAGCATGGGGAAGTTTGATAAGATAATATACAACCTTTCTTTATTTTCTTTATATGGTTGGTTGCAGTAGGCTCCAAGGTAGGAAGCATTGTGTACAACACATATGATACCAAAATCAGGTGGACAGTATAGATCATAGGTGGGACCAAGTCATTGCTCTGCAAATCACAATTGCCCTCAAGTCCCAAGTCCTAAACATTAAGTTTGGAGTCCTATACAGGACGTAGTACACTCTTCACCATATTTAATACCATTATAACAACAGAGAAATAATATATTTAATACACAAAAATCATGAATGCTTTTAAAAGTGTGTACTTGTTTTTTAAGACAAGGAAGTGGTTGCGTTTAGATAGGCCTACTGCAATTCATTTTTTGTTGACCACCATGTAGTTTTTGTACGCGAATGACATCATCTTTGGTATCTTTCTTTTTTCCAGCTGGCGCTCAGGAACATAACGTTAGTTTTTAATGGTTCTCTCTAGCAACTTGACTGGATACTGTTGAATAAGTTCAAACAAAGTGGATCTGGGGCATTGACTCACTGAAAGTGAATAGGGTTATTAATTGATTCAGAAAATGAAGGAAAATGTATTGATTCGTGGCACACTTTTTAAATAACATACAACTTTGGGCTTTGGGGTCAAACAGCCCAAGTCCAAGTGAAGCTCCACGTCGACGTAGAGCCTACGCCGTAACCTACACTGTAGTCTACGCTGTAGCCTGACGTGCACCTCTCCAGAATTGTAACTACGCGTCGCGGTGACGTAGACCTCCTGTCTGTTTCAGTGTACTGACACCTTTTCCCTCAGTGGAAACAAAGCTTGTAGGCTTTTACATTTTATATTTACTTGTATTTTACAGATAAGAAACAATATATTGTGAAGACAGTAAAGCCTCCACTAAAATAGCATTTTAAGTCTTGTGTGTAATTTATCCTTTATGGATATATACTTAGGGATTTATCCTGGCTTCATATGAGCAGAGGAAATCTCTGAGGAGTTGTAATGGAGCCAAATTGTGTGTCCTTACCTTTGTTAAATGCTGCTGTTGTCTCTGGTTTTATATGAGAAGAGGGAAAGATTGCTAGCCGCTAGGCTAATTTATACAATGTAAAATGCCATAGGCTGGCGCTAATAACATTAGCATGTTGTATTTGTGGGGAAAATGTGTCCAGATAAAGACAAGTGTTTGTCTGTCAGTTCTGAGATTTATAGTGAAGCCAGTTTGCGTACTTGTGTTTGAAATTGTTTCTATTAAGCCATATTTAATGTGTTTTGAATCAACTAAACTTTGCAGCTCTTAACAAAAACCTCCACTGCCGACTAGCGTTTTGGAGGTTTAACTGCAGAGTGACACAGACACACCACCGCAGAGGTAAAAATGCTCACAACGGTGAAGGCTACGTGCGTAGGGTCTACACACAACCATAAATCCCCTGGTACTTTCCGCTTCTTTGTAAAAAAAACTCAGAATGTCCATGGCTGATTTAATTTAATCCCTCAAACCCCATCTCATGAGAGGAGTGTGGGAGTTTTTAGTTCATTCAATCTACAGTGAGTGAGTGTGTGCATGCAAGCTGTGAGGAGTAGCCTAAAATACACTGAAAACATGCCATATCCATGGAAACGTGGATTTCCATGGATATGGCATTCTCTTCTGCAGGAAGTGGAATGAATTTTATAGCAAAGCAATGGAAAGAGCACTGAGTGATAGCTTTGAGATGATTAGCCTATGGTTGGCTTCACATTTCAAGGAAAGTATGTGGGGGGGGGGTCCAAATGAACGATTTTCAAAAGTCGGGGGGACACGTCCCCTCCAGAGTACTGTTTGCGACGCTCATGCCTATGGCCAGGAGCTTTGGGTAATGACTGAAAGAATTAGATTGTGGATACAAGCAACTGAAGTAAGTTCCTCCATGGGGTAGCTGTGCACAGCCTTAGAGATAGGGTGAGGAGCTCAGACATCCAGAGGGAGTTCGGAGTAGAGCCGCTGTTCCTTCACGCCAGAAGGGGTCAGTTGAGGTGGTTCGGGCATGCTGTTAGAGGTGTCCCAGGGAAGTCCAACTGGTAAGAGGCTCAGGGGCAGAACACGAGGGATTACATATCTCATCTGGCCTGGAAACACCTTGGGATCCCTTAGGAGGAGTTGGAAGGCATTGCTAGGGAGAGGGATGTCCAGGGTGCTTTGCTTAGCCTGCTGCCCCCGCGACCTTGCCCTGGATAAGCGGATAAAAAAATGGATGGATGGATGGATTCCATTTAATTGACTCTTTCTTTGAAAGAATTACAGTTATATATACTATTCTACTCTATGTATAAGATTATGAAGACAATATTTTTCCCCTTAAAAATGTAATAGTTATTATGGTAAAGTTTACATCAACAAATATATCTCTCCAAAAAAAAAAAAAAAAAAAAATTTGGTTCTGGTGAGCTGTTGTTTTGCACATTTTGTTTTTATGCACAAGATAATGTGCACAAATAAAGCTCTATATGTCTTGGTAGGAGTTTGGTTAATGGTGTGTATTTAGAACACTGAGGAATGATCATATTAACATTCATAACTGTAAACAGGTCAGACAGCAGGCAGAGGAACAAAGCAGCTCGGCCAGTGTTTAGATCTTTTCAGACTTTCTAAATGGGTTCCTTTGTATATCCTGTCGGAGCATTTGTTAATGCAGCAGCTGACAGGAAGCAAATAGGGACCAAGGGACCAAGCTGTTGTCCTAGCAACAGAATAGCAATTAAAAGGCCTATACAGTACATAATGGGTGCTCCCCCACCCTCACCCCAAAATGCTTCAACAGGAAAATAATAAAAGGAAACTTTAGAAGGAGCAACTGAGCAGGGATCCCTCTCCCAGGGCAGAAAGATGTGCAAAACAATGTGTATTCAATAACAACATAAGAGCATAATAATGAGCATAATAATGATACATAGTAAACATATGGAAAACTGGCGAGAATGTCAAGCAGCTTGCAGGTGTTGCCTAACAGCTGAAGCCTGAGCCACACCACCTCAGCATGGAACCAGGAAAGAGGACAGACTATACAAACAGACTAGAAGCAAAACTGAAGCACATCATTCACACAGATAGGAGAATGACACAAACACAGAGATGGAGAGAAGAGGGAAGAGGAGAAGCTGAAACTTCTGGAGGACATGTGGAAAGAGGCACCAACAGCCAGGTGGAGGGAGAGATCCCAGAAGACAGACATCTAGAGAGGCACACAGCTATGCTCGAGGGTCACAAAGAGCAGTGGGTTATTTAGCTGCAGTGGCTCTCAAAAAGGTAATATTTTTCTCTTGAGCAGGGCAAACTACTAGGCAAGCCAGCCAGATTACAAAGGAATAAGCAATAAATTGAAAGTTAAGGCAGAAAGATGGGTTTTGAGCTGAACAGATGAGGAGACAGGTGAGCAAGCTCGTGTGTGGGGAGGGATGTGATTGCAGGGTAGATTGGAGCAGCAGGATCTGAAATAGAAATTAGAAAGTCTGAGGGTATCTGATGTATAGGTCAAGAATAATGCTTAAGGGAAAAATGGAAATGGCTGAAAAGAAGGATGGAGAGGCAAACTGAGCAGGGACATTGTGGCACATAGTGCTATAGTGCTAAATACAAAAAGAAAAGTTCACTATAATATCACAACCAGCAATACTACAGAACACTGGCAGTCTTGAAGCATTATGCTGATAAATCGGGATGAACTGTGTTTATGTGCATCCACGATCCACTACATCCCTGCATATTCCTCTATTTCCTGTTTTGAAATGAGAGTGATTTTTCCAGGGGATGAAACATCTAATGTGAAATATATGTGAGCCCTGCAGGATCTACCCAGAGCTCCCAACTCAGCAGTTGCCCACTGTGGAAACATATTACACATCTGGACATGGTTATATTCAAAAACATCACATCCCAATACATAATACTACAAGCCTGATTCTGCTTACTGAGCAAGATATGTGTTTTTTCCTCCACAATATGACATATGATATAATGATATAACAAAGAAAGTGAAAAGATGTAGATTTAATCTCAGTAAGCACTGCTTCTAAAACATTTCAACTCCAAACATGTAGACATGGAGTGAATTCATGTGTAACAGTAGAGACTCCTGTGGTCACAAACCTCAGAGTCTTAAAGGATTAGACCAGCAACTGTGTATGTTGTTCTCATATGGAAAATGCATAGCCTTCTGATAACTTTAAGAGCTACGTTATTTAGGTTCCAACAGAGTGTAGGGAATGTGATGAGTTAAACAGGAGTAAGATCTGTGTGATGTTGAGGCGCAATAAGCTGCAATGCAATAAAAAACAGGTACTTTGGCTGTCTTCCATGTCGTCATTTCAGTGGCACATATTAGCTTAATGAGGTTATTATAGGCTACATGTAGTCTACAAGATTATGGAGGCTATTGACTGTGTTTCAAAAAGTCACAACAAATTAAGAGTGTGAAACATTAAATTGTTGAACTTGAAATGTAGGCCTGTCTGAATCTTATACATGGCTGCTTAGCAGTCTGAATCTTTTAATAGATTTAACAATCACTCAGTGACTTCACATTGGGTCTTTTTCAGTCTCTCTTGTTTTTGTCTAGTTTTTGTTCATTTGTAACAAGGTCGGAAGTA